TGATGGGTATCGAGGAGGGCACCTGTGGGGATGAGCACTGGGTGTTGTAGGGAAACCAATTTGACAGTAAATTATATTAAAAAATAACAATAATAATAATTGTGAACTTTTCCCACTGGGTAAAACTGTTTGCTCTTAACAATTTTCCACTAGAAGCCCCTCGAAGTAGTGAGTTTTTAAAGCTATAATCTGTTTTTAAGATGAGACAGTTTTTCTTTGGCCTTAAATTGCCTTAGATATAATTATATGTATATATATTAATATCTATGTATCTTTTGACTTGCCTTCTTTCTGATGGATGTTATGATTTATGTTGTTACATGCCACTTAGTGATTACTGCCATACTGTGAATTTAAATAGAAAATTGTTTTGCTAATCGTGTGGGTTTCTTTTTTCCTTTAGGGGGTGCTAGTATTATTCAGTGTCACATTCTTAATGATAAGAGACATATATTAACCAAAGATACCAATAATAATGTGGCATATTGGGATGTATTGAAGGTGAGTATCTTTTTGTATAAAACATAAGTTATTGGACCATGTATCACCTGTATTGTTCATTGTAAAAAATATACGTAGTAACCAAGATAGTAAGTGTGTAAGTTAAGATTTGATTGCAATAATACCTTATTTGGGGGTACTTTTTAATACAAATAATAGGTAAGGCCATAGTTCATCTTTTTAAGCACCTAAAATTTGAGTGGAACCTTTCTGCTGTATGCTGCCTTGCCTTAACAGGAATACATCACAGTTCCTGATCCTTGACACTATTGACATTTTGGGCCAAATAAGTCTTTGTCGAGGGAGGCAGGGTGGAGTGGGATCTGTCCTGTGCACTGTAGGATGTTAGCAGGATCCCCCGCCTCTACCCAGGGAGAGCGGCCACAGAGGTTGCCCGGTGGAATGAGGGAACGGGCTAGAGTATCCTGCAGCCTCAGAGAAATAGGCATCTCTACGTGGAGGCGAGGGAATCAGTGGTCTCCATGTGCCATCGGGGAGGCACGGGATAGAGGAGAGGCAGCAGGGTCAGCTTTCGAGAAGACAGCTGACCCTCAGGAAAGAGCCACATTGATGTGACGAGGTGGTGGAGGGGGTATTCCGAGACAGGGATAGGAATGGAGGTGAGCTGTGATGGGAAACGCCCCAGGGCTCCCCGCGGAGGTCAGGACATGCCTCTGGGGAGCACTCGAGGGCAGTGAAGGAGAGATCGGAGAAACCTTACCGGGCTGCCTGTAGGGTATCTCTTGTCTTCACAGCAGCTGCCCGGGTCTCCTAGGGTGTTTAGTAACTGTTCTTTGTTCCTGGAAGATTGTCTGTGCCTCATTTAACATTGCTTCCAGGTCAGTGTGATGATGTGTTTTATCAGTATGACCAACATGACAATTCCAAAAAGAGAACGTTTTGTGTTTTGGGTTTTTTTTTTTTCTTTTAACGTAAAAGTGTAATAGCGGATATTTTTGTCTTAAAGCATCTACCTGCAACTGTTTGGCCACGTCCTTGTTGAAATGTTTCTTTGACTCCATTTTATTGAGACAGATGTGAATATGTGTAAAATTTTGAGTACCTAAGTCGGAATCAAATCAGTTCACCACTTATGTTGATAATTCCCATACTTTCTTTTTGCTGTATAGGCATGTAAAGTTGAAGATCTGGGCAAAGTGGATTTTGAGGATGAAATTAAGAAAAGATTTAAGATGGTGTATGTGCCAAATTGGTTCTCAGTAGACTTAAAAACAGGGGTGAGTTTGCAACTGATATTCGTACAATTTGGCATAGTTGAAAGTTTCTTATGTAGCTCAGAATTAAGTATTATTAAGTACGGAGTCCTATGTTTAAGTATGAATGCAGTAAGTTTTTCATGTTAATACTTGCCAAATGCAGTTAAAAAGTGCCTTTTGGTATCCCAGGAAATTAAACTGTAGCTCCAGTGAATCCCATGAAACACATTTTGGTCCTGAATCTGTGGCTTAGCACTTAGTACAGATACGTAGGGGCATATTAGGAGAATGTGTTGAAATGGAATGCTGCTAACAGTGTTTTTATTTTGACAGATGTTGACTATTACTTTGGATGAGAGTGATTGTTTTGCTGCTTGGGTTTCTGCAAAAGACGCTGGCTTCAGCAGCCCTGACGGGTCAGATCCAAAACGTGCGTTTAAGTGTCCTTCCCTCCCTCCTTTCGAAAGAGAAGGTGGATCTGTGCTGGGTTAGGTTTTTTTGTTTGTGTTTGGTTTGCTTTGCTTTTCTTTGCTATGTGCTCCCTTTTTTTTTTTTAACAATATTTGGGCATTTTTAAATCACTTTTCAAGAAATACATATATTCCCCCATGGAATTTGAAAATACTATACCATTTTAAATGTTTTGGGGGTCTTGGGGCGCCTGGGTGGCTCAGTCGGTTAAGTGTCCAACTCTTGATTTTGGCTCAGGTCGTGATCTCACGGTGGGTGAGTTTGAGTCCTGTGTTGGGCCCCACGCTGACAGCACGGAGCCTGCTTGGGATTCTCTTCTCCCTCCTTCTCTCCCCCCTCCCCAGCTCAGGCTCTCTTTCTCTCTCAAAATAAATAAATAAGTAACTTTGAATAAATTGGTTTTAAGATAAATAAATGTTTTGGGGGCCTGGGTTTTTCTCGCAGTCTGTGGTTTACCTTTAACAATTAAACACACAGCACACTCTCTACCCCTAATCCTTTCTGGAAATCTGTTAGGGTAGGAAAAGTGAAGCTGGGAAACAGTTCTGGTGTCTTCCTTTGTTTTGTTTGTTTGTTTTTAATTGAGGTATAATTGACATGTGACATTATATTAGTTTCAGATGTCCAACCTGATTCAATATTTGTATATATTGCAAAATGATCATAAATCTAGTTAATATCCATTACCACCATACATAGTTACACATTTTTGTTGTTGTTGTTGTTGCTTATGATGAGAACGTCTAAGATCTGCCCTGTTAGCAGCTTTCAAATGTGCACAATATTAGTCGCCGTGACTTGCTTACGTGATAACTGGAAGTTTGTACCTTTTGATATCCTCTTCACGTCACTGCTTCCTGCCTCTGGCGACCACCAGTCTATTTTGTCTTTTGTTTCTTTTTAAGATTCGACATATATGTGAGATCATCTGGTATTTTCTTTCTCTTACTCCACATAGCCCTCAGGGTCCAACTGAATTATCACAGATGGCAGGATTGTGTTCTTTCTTGTGGCTGAATAACATTCCGTTGTACCTACGTACCACATTTTTTCTTTATCCGTTCATCTATCGATGAACACTTGGTTTCCATATCTTGGCTACTGTAAATACTGCTGCAGTGAACATAAGGGTGTGTATATCTTTTTGAGTTGGTTTTTTTCATTTTCTTTGGGTAAATACCCAGAAGTGGAATTGCGAGATAATACGGAATTTACTATTTTTAATTTCTTGAGCAGACTGCATACTGTTTTGCACAGTGACTGCACCAGTTTACGTTCCCACCAACAGTGTAAGAGGGTTCCCTTTACGCACATTTTCATGAACACTTACCTTGTATCTTTTTGGTACTAGCCATTCTAATGTGTGTGAGGTTGTGCTTTTGATTTGCATTTCCCCGATGATTAGTGATGTTGAGCATTTTTTTTCATGTACTTGTTGGCCATCTGTATGCCTTCTTTGGGAAAATGTCTATTCAGATCTTCTGTCCATTTTTTTTTTTTTTTAAGATTTTATTCTTAAGCAATCTCTGTACCCAGTGTGGGGCTTGAACTCACAGTCCCTGAGAACGGAGTCACATGCTCCACCAACTGAACCAGCCGGGAGCCCCTTTCTGCCCATTTTTTAATTGGATTGCTTGTTTTCCATTTTTGTTTTTGCCGTTGAGTTGTATGAATTCCTTGTATATTTTGGGTATTAACCCCTTATCAGATCTATGATTTGTAGAGATTTCTCCTATGCCGTAGGCTGCCTTTTCATTTTGTTGATGGTTTCCTTTGCTGTGCAGAGCTTGTTAGCTTGATGTAGTCCCACTAGCTCACTTTTGCTTTTGTTGTTTTTGCTTTTGGTGTCAGATCCAAAAAATCATCACCAAGCTCCAGGACCTTGCTGCCTATGTTTTCTTCTAGGGTTTTTTTTTTTTTTCCTTAGTTTTTAAAATTTTTATTTAATCTTGAGAGAGAAAGAGAGCACGAGCAGGGGAGGAACAGAGAGAGAGGGAGACACAGAATCCGAAGCAGGTTCCAGGCTCTGAGCTCTCAGCACAGAGCCCAACGTGGGGCTCGAGCTCACAAACCACGAGATCATGAGCTGAGCCGAAGTTGGACGCATGACGGACTGAGCCACCCAGGCACCCCTTCTTCTAGGGGTTTTATGGTTCTGACAGTCAAATCTTTAATCTATTTTGAGTTAATTCTTGTGTATTGTGAGAAGAAACGTATAAAAGTCTATTATATTTTGTTGATTACATCTTTGGTTGCTATTCTCCTGAGAATGTAGTATGTAGACATACCTGATGTACATAAATATAGTTTTAGTGGCTCCGTATGGAAATAGTTCTTTAAAGAATGTAATTCCCATTTTTGTTCATTTTTAATTTTTTTTAAGTTATTTATTTTCAGAGACAGAGACAGTGTGAGCGGGGGATGGGGAGAGAGAGAGAATCCCAAGCAGGCTCCCCACTGTCAGCAGAGAGAAATCATGTGAAATCATGACCTGAGCCAAAATCAAGAGTCAGACGCTTAACCAGCTGAGCCACCCAGGCGTCTGTTTTTGTTCATTTTTTTTTAAATGGTCCTATTTGGGGCACCTAGGTGGTTCAGTTGGTTAAGTGTTCTACTCCAGCTCAGGTCATGATCTCACTGTTCATAGGTTCACGCCCTACGTTGGGCTCTGCTCTGACAACACGGCATCTGCTGGGGATTCTCTGTCTCCCTTCCTCTGCCCCTCCCCTGCTCACCTGCTCTTTCTCTCTCTCAAAAATAAACATTAAAAAAAAAAAAAAGAATGGTTATATCTGAACAATCAGATAGCTCCATATTATCAGAACAACTAGTTAATTGCTCCGTATTATCACTACTGAAACATTCTAAGATAAATTTTAATAGACTTGGCAAAATCTTTAAAGTCTTTTAAACATCATTGGCATCGGGTTACGAGTGTAACATCCAAATATGTGGAAACAATTTTTATTTCTTTCCCTCTGTTTTTAGGTGAAAACTAATAACTCTCTTTTCCATGTCTTTTCATTTTAACTCTTTTGCAGTGAACTTAGGAGGACTTTTACTGCAGGCACTCCTAGAATATTGGCCTAGAACACACGTGAATCCAATGGATGAAGAAGAAAATGAAGTAAACCATGGTTCGTGTTTTTATATCCAAATAATTGACTTAAAATTACTCAGAAGTTTAAGATGCTTGGAGTGTTTGTTATTCTAAGGATGTTTAAGAAATGTTTGGTAGCATTTACTAAATCGTGACAAAATAAATATTTGTGATGTGCCCAATTTATCACCCTTCCACGTATCAAAGAACGTCCGGTCTTGACTTGAGATTCCAAGAGCACTTTCCGTGAAGCTGCTCAAGATGGGTAAAAAAAACCCTATATATCCAAATGACCTTCTCCTTAAAAGCAAGCGGCTTAGCGGTCTTCTTCCAAAGAAGACTGTTCCTCAGAGCATCTGTGGTCCTGCTGGACTCACCTCCAGAGCTAGCTACTTAGCTGCATCAGGAAGCCATTTCTGTCCTTACCTGGTCATGATTCATTTCGGCCTGAAACACAGGCATTACCTAGTCTGATGATCTACCTGATTTTGGCTCCAAACGTTTCAAAGAATCAAATTTCAACCCAGAAGTGTCAGGATAAGCGAATGGGTATTTGTAAAGAATTAATGTCACTGAGGACATTGAAAAGTTATGTGTGCCTCAGAGGGTGGCAATAACTTTCTCTGGGCAGTAGAGGAGAACATGTTTCAAGTTTGTAATTTCGATTCAGTTTGATTGAATGAAGAGAAAAAAAAGAAAACAATTTCACAGCTCATTTGTCACCTATTAGCCAGTTGAAGAATCCTTGAGTCCTACCTGCCAAGGGCTCACTCTGTTGAATATTCTCTGAATTCTCTGAAGATTCTGCTGAAGAGCGCCCACTTCTGGTGGCCAGTAATGACCAGGACCTCCTGCCAGAGCCTTTGTTCCGGCTGATTCATCCATAATCAGTTTAAATCTCTTGTGCGCAAGGTCTCTTGTGCATGCTTCTCTGCAAGCCAGTCTTCTGATATCCCTGTCGCAGAGGGCGCCGACCCCACCCGTGGTGGCTTTTGTTCTGTGTCATCTGGTGCACGCCCCTCCCCATCAGAATCGTACCGGGGGCTCTGAGCCAGAGAAACTCAACGGAAAGATCTTCAGCAGAGGGTGGAAAAAGCCAGGTCTCCGTGTGGGCTCTGGCATTTATCAGCTGTGCAGCTGTGGGCATGTCATTCCCAGCCATGCCCGTCCCTCTCCACCTGCAGGGTGACAGTTAGAATGCCCTAGAGGCCAAGTAGACGAGCAAGATCAAAAACTAGTAGGACAGTCTGCACCACTGGCGTCCAGGCTTTGGCTGTGGGAGTAAGGAAAGAGTCGCAGGAATCCGGGTCATCCTCAAATCAAACTGCCGTAGTAAGGGCGGGGGCGGGGCCCACCCACCGTGCAGCCAGACCACTGCTTGCTCCACCCGTGTGGTGATCTGCACCAGCACCGTGGGCTCTCCAGAGTCGTGTAGATGCCCCTCAGTGAGCAGCTCAGGCGTCCAGAGGCTGCTGGCAGGGTTGATAGAGATAAATGGGCACGGACCGCATCCTTTCGGGCCTGACGTTCCGGCAGGGCAGAAAGCTCCTTGGGTGGAGCAGAGAGAGCATTAGGGGATCGCAGGGAGGTGTCGGGTGCTGTGGGAGAGGGTCTGAAAGTGCTGTAGGGTCAGACGGTGACGTGGCTTCCAGATTCACCAGAGGTGTCTGTGAACAAGGTGGCACTGGAGTGGGGCTCAACCGCACTTCGTCAAAAGGTTACGAAGAAAGCAGGGAAATGAAATCTGCAGGGAATAACAAGAAGGAGATTCGGGCCGCTTTGGGGGTTTTACTTTTCGCTGATACCTCTGCCATCGGCTATGGCGGCCGTTAAAACATAAATTTGTTTCTGGCCGCAGAAATTTTCCTGGTCTTGGTGTTCTACCCACGTGCACAACAGCGGACCGCCGTTTATAAACAGGCTGTCCTAGACTTCCCTGTGGCTGAAGTAGATGGTTCGCTCTTTATTTCAAATCTCAGATGTTAATGTCTTCGATTAAAATTCCCTAAAAGTATACAGTCATTTCCCATGAGGTACACCCCAAGTTGCCGTCCTTATTCTTTGTGGAAATTTAACTTTGATTGGTTTTGTACCTTTATCTGACTGGCTGACTTCTCAGACTTTGAACTTTAAAAGCTTGGCGGTTTGAAGCCTGTAGAAACAAAATGTTACATTTGAGCACTAGCTCTGGATACTGACACCATGTGCATCTTTTCCTAGTAAATGGGGAGCAGGAGAACCGAGTGCAGAAGGGAAATGGATATTTTCAAGTCCCCCCCCACACTCCTGTGATCTTTGGTGAAGCTGGGGGACGCACACTGTTCAGGTATGGGTAAGGAAGGTCGGAGACCCTGCCTAAGAGAGCATCCCATTTGCTAAGAGATACGGACTCAAACATGATAAAGTGGGGTTTGTTTTTTTTTAAGATTTTACTTTTTTTAGCCAATTGATTAATTATTTTTAAAGATTTTATTTTTAAAGTGATCACTCCAACATGGGGCTCAGCCTCACAACCCTGAGATCAAGAGTCACTTGCTTTACTGACGGAGCCAGCCAGGCACGTCCAAACATAAGTTGTTCATTACTAACTTTTATGGGTGTGATTCGGAAGCTTTTCCATCTCCGTGCCATAATTCAGTGTCTGATGCCAGTCGGCCCCATTCTAACTGAGAGCTGAGCCTCTCGTGTGAAAGTAAGGTCGGGACCTTGCTTTCAGGCAGCTTCTCTGGTGGTTTCTGCAGGAAGCTCTCCCTCTCTCTCACTGAAGCCAGCGTGACTGGGGGGTCAGGAATCCCCAGGTGTCCCTGCTCAGAGCATCAGAGCAGGGCACTTCCCTCGGGCTGGGCCCTGCAGGACCGCCTGGGCTGCTGCTGAGAACCGTCGTGCTTGGTGGTGCCCCGGCCTGAGGTGCAAGGCGGTCAGTCCCTCGTGAGGCCCCGCGGGGAAGCTGGAGTAGCTTCCCCTCAGGTTGCCAGCGAGGCCCTACTGGAGCCACAGGGGAGCTCACTAGAGTCTCCTCTGGGCCAGAAGTGAGAGGAACGCTTCTGTTGCCCTTGAGCTCAGAATCCTCCTGCCCCGCCCCCCCTGTCAGGCCTGTGCCGTGCACGGGAGCCCCGGCAGGAGAGCTTTCCGGGCTGTTCCGCCTCCACCCAGGGTCCCTGTCGTCACCCGACGACTCAGAGGAGCGGCGCTAGTGTGCGCCTGGCCTCGAGGTCTGGGGCCCTGCTCTCCCTCCCGGCGGACTGAGTCAGGCCGCCTGGCTGCCGTCAAGGGTGGGTTGCCCAGAATGAGCTCCGTAGGGTCCCTCCCTCTAATGTTTGCTGACGGGGGGTTGTCATTTGTGCTGCTTGTGTCACTTACTACCTGACGGGTTATGTTTAGGCTGCTCTGCCGAGACTCCGGGGGTGAGACTGAGTCGATGCTTCTTAATGAGACAGTGCCACAATGGGTCATTGACATCACTGTGGATGTAAGTGTCCTTCGCTCCTGCTTCGCCCTTTTGTCCTTTCCAGATCACGAAGGCATGAGAACAGCTTTAGACCGTGCCGTCCTAAACTTGAGTCAAAACTAGGCTCCAAGTGGAATCCCCCTCTGCTTCCCTGCAGCTCCAGGGCTGCGGAAGAAGTTGGTAATGAGTCGTGTCAGTTTATATCTCTGTTGGATTGAGTTATAAACATGTCATGTGCTTATTAAAGAAAATAAACGAATAAAGGGAAACGCCCACCTCTTTCCCAGTCATCCCTTTCTTCCATCCACTCCTGTCCTTCTCCCTAGAGCGATAACTTTTCGTAGTTTAATGCACAATCTTCAGGACTTTTTTCTGTGCGTACACAAGCAGGTACTATCCAGGTGTGTGTGTAGGTGCCTCTGTGTGTGTGTAGGTACAGACACACACACACAGTTCATTATTTTGCACAAAATCTTATTATACATTCTGTTCTGCAACTTGGTTTGGTTTTATTTTTTGCTTAAAAATATGTCTTGGATGGTTTTTCATGTCTGTACGTCATATGGGTCATTCCTTTTTAATGATTACATAGTATGTCTTTGTATAAATGTGTCATAATTAATTATCTGGTCCCCGATTGAGGGACGTTAAGATTGTTTCCAGTGTTTTCTATCACAAACAATGCTTCCGTCAACATCCTTGGACCTGTATCTTTGTATACTTTTTGGGTAAATTCCTAGAAGTGGAATTGCTGGATCCAAGGGTCTGCATGTTTTAAATTTTGCGATACAGCCCATTTGCTCCCACAGAGGCTCCAACAGTGCATGAGTGCCCATTTTTGCACACTGACCGACACTGTCGGTCTTTGCTTTGTCGGTCTTTAATGTGGGTTGGTTGGTTTGTTTCCATCTGTACTGAGGTTAGGCATCTTTTCGTATTGGCTGTTTGTGCTTCTCCTGTGAATTGCCTCTGTATCCTTCACTCCTTTTTCTGTTGGGGAGTTTGTGTGTCTTCCTGATTTGTAGGACTTCTTCATATTGAACAGTCACCCTTTGACTATTATCCGTGCCTCTCAGTTGAAGTATTACTTTTTCGTGGTTGGTGTCTTTTACCAGGCAAAAAGTTTGAATTTTTATGTAATCAGATTGATCTTCATGGCTCTGAGTGTCACATCTTGCTTGGCTATTCTCTAGTACGTCTGTGATCATTGTTTGTGTCTAGATCTGTAATTTATGAGAATGTGTGCTGTTTAGTGTGAGGTAGGATGCTAACTTCCTCCAAACAGATAGCCAGTGTGCCAAAACAATTTTTTTGAATAACCTATCCTTTTCTTAGTAATTAGAAATGCTGTCTTTATCAGGCACTAAATTTCTCTAGGCACATGGGCCTGTTTCTAGACTCACTTATGTGCTGTTGATCTGTTTTATATATTCCTAAAGCCTTATGAAAAGAGATTGAATCTCTAGAACCTCCAGAAAATGTGTTTTCTGTCCAGATATACCTCCAAGAACCTAAAGCCAGTGTGACACCTGATGGGTATTCTGTGCTCTTAGCTCTGAGTCCGAGCTCCCCATAAGCACTACTTTCTTTGAGTATGAAACTCACCTGGGATGCATTGCTGACATTCAGCCTGTGGCTTATTCCTGAGAGGAGACACCCAGACAGGATATGACATGGAGGCTTGAAGGGGAGTGATACCCAGAGAAAAGATGACCAGTTAATTTTATCCTTCACCTGAGTATGTGGTTTACTTCATGGTAGACACCTAGGTGTTTGGCTGAAGTTTCCACTCTTGATTAAAACCTCAGACCTGATGTGAGAGGGAGAGAAAGTTGGAGGACCTCAGTGACCTTTCCAGCTAGATGATGGGCCTCACCAGCCTAGAGTGTGTGGTTTTGCTCAGAAGTGGATGCTGTGGGTTTCTCTCCAGACACTGAATTTTCTGTTTGGGCCCTTAAGTATCAGCCCCAATGTTTTAATGTGGAATTGAGATTTTGCTTTAAATAGCAAGTAATATTTGTTTCCCTTTAATACCTTGAATTGTTATTTGGGAAGAGCCATACTGCAGTTTCACACTGCCACTGACGTATCATTTATCTTGTATACGTTTTATTACGAAACTGAACGCGAGACTTTTCTGGATACATTTTCACTAGGCTTAGGTGATTGGATAGCTTACTATAAATTTCATAGAAAGTTCATTTGAATTGTAAAATAACTATTAACTGGTAAATCATGTTTTTTGTTGACTTCATTTTCACTCATCAGCTAATAGAAATGATTATGCCTTTTTTACTTTTAATATTTCAGAAAAATATGCCCAAATTCAACAAAATTCCTTTCTACCTCCAACCTCACGCATCTTCGGGAGCAAAAACCTTAAAAAAGTAAGTAAATGTAGTGTCATGTGATGCCGGATCTAATCAATTGCCAGAGATTTTTTTATTCTTTATGATTGCTTTTATAGCAAAGGAGACATGTCGTAGATCTAAAGCTAGTTTCATAATACTGAAAGTTTACACAGTTTACCCTTTACCAAGTACCTATGTGGTAGGCCACAGAAGTTCAAAAAAGTAAGACTTGGATTTTGTTTCTTGCCACAGCATAGTTTAGGACAGTTTGTATATAAGGACTGCTTTCACAGATACTTGGGGAATGAGGAGAGAGGGAGAAACGGATTTGGGGCTGGAGCTTTCTGGAAAGGCTTCTTGAAGGGCATGGAATTTGAGCTGCACATGTAAGGATGGATAGAGTTGCAAAAGAGAGGTATTCAACAAGACTTAAAAACCTCTTGTTAGGGAAATTTCCAGACATAACGAAAAGGAGATTAGAATGAACCCCGTTATCCTGTCAAACAGCTTCAGGGTTATTGACACATGTCTGAACATTTTCCTTCTTCTCTGCCTCCCCCCCCC